GTTTAATATAGATTATTAAAAGCAAGGAGAGACATTGAACTTCATTATTACCATTATTAGGCAAATATATATTGTTTATCTTTACGTTTAAAAATAAATATTAAAGGATTATATTTGAAATAATTGAAATGAAACAAAATTGATTGAAATTAATGAAAGAGGCTAGAATTAATGTGTTTGTTTCTCTCCTTACTGAAAATTTGGAATGGAAAAGGTAATAATGGAATTAAGTATGCATATATCAATGTATAATTTCTGTCATATTTGTATGTAAAGATGATGACCCGGAAATATGTTGTCCACTAAAAAGAGATTTTTGTTTTTAATGTGAAAACTGAATAAAGTCTGTTTAAAAAAAAAAAAGAAATGCAAGATAAATGTTAGTGGAATTCTGATAGATTAAATGGTTAAAAGATAGTTCTGAGGTTCCATCAGTGTACAATCATCTCTCCAGTAGTCAATATACTCTGGCACACTTCAAAGAAGCCCACAAAGAAAGATATCAAGCAAAACTCTCTGCTTGGAACTCCTCTCCAGAGCAGAGTGCCTACAGAGTAGTAGACAAATATCTACTTTGTGGCAATAGCAAAAAAAAAATCAATAATATCAAAGAAATGTGAAAGAAATTATCAAGCTCCCTGAGAAAAAGGTAGCAAAACAGGAAGCATTTCAAAGAAGAAGGAAACTAAAGGACCAATTTTGATATAGAAATAATATAAATTTAATCTGTAGCAAAATTACTGTCATGGATGATTACTGGGTAAGAAAATTGCATTAGACAAGAAGGATGAATATTCTGACTCAATTGTATTAAGACAGATTGGCAGCCTGAAACAGTTAATGCAAAAAGCATTTGGGGAGAAGCAGTTTTTGTCTAATCACCTTTTCCATCTATGCAATTTCATAAATGCTGAAGTCTCTTCAGGGTTGCTATTTACATTGTATAAACTTAAAATTCATTACATTCATGCAACTAATATCACATAAGGCAGTTTGCCTCATCCCGAGGCATTTCTATAAATGGATATTTAATTTGATCGTAAGTGACCATTAGAATAATGGATTTTATTTTATCTACTACATTTCCTGTGCTATTTATTCGTTCATTTGCTTTTTATGAGTTTAAAAATCTATGATGTAATTATTCCCTGAAACCTGGGTTATTGGGCAGATTAAAATTATAGTTAATAATATATCATGTGTCCAGATGTCCAGAACAATAACATAATTTTCCTTTCTTTTTGTCCCCTTCTGTTGCATTTTAGTCACATTGATAATGCCAATTCAGCTAAATGTTTTTATATTGGGAACTCTCAACCTACTTTAAAGTGGTTCATATGAAGCAGAAATATGCTACATTCCTTGCAAGAGAAAGGAAAAAACATGCATTAAGAGGATTTGTTGGCAGAAAATAAGCAATTAAAAGCCCAATACTTAATGAATCATTTATAGTAGTAGAATTACAGTTGCAGTTCCAAGTTATGATGACCCAGCAGTGTAGGTAAAAATGTCAACATTGAGATACAACAATTACTGTCATGTTAATTTTGAATCCTCTACAGCCTATAAAGAAAGAGCATTATCTGTAACCATACTGGTGTCATTCATAGGCTGTTGCTAGAAAATTATGCAGGAACAATATGCTCCAGCTGCAGAATCCCTAAGATATTTTATTTATTTGCTTTCTTATTTATTTCAGCGTGTTATATTTATTTTCTGGAGTGAAAAATGTTATCTTCCTATCTATAAATATAATATTATCTAAAAGGGTTAACAGCCTTATTCTCAATTGCAAAGTACAATATTGCCATTACCCCAAGGGTTATGAAAGATGCATAGAGCTCCGGGCAAAATAAACTCTTTCCCACTTGTAGTGTTCCCACTATAGCACTATATGCCATGTCAGGTGCATGGTGTATAGGTCCTTGTTTATAGGCTGAGTCAGCAGTGAACATGGGATCAGAATGATAGGGTCAGATGGTGGCCCCTTATCTACATGCATCATGATGAAACCTGCTCCCGAAAGGGTGGAGTTTACAGTGTAATATTGCAAGGGACAAAAATTGCAAAGATTGCAGAAACTGCTGAGATAAGTTCATATGTTACTCTAGTTAACTTTTATGTAGACATTATTTGAGGAATCCAGAATTAAAGGATAAGCCTGTTTTGGGACTTGTTTGGCCAATTCCTATTTTATTTTTAATATTTTGTTCATGAGAGGTTTGTTTTTTCCTTGCTCTTCTGATTAAGTGGACAAGGCATAAATCCAACCAGAAACAAGCCAAGAATCTGAAAAGAAACTATGCAACCTTATTTGTACATCACACTAAGTTGCTGTTGCAATCACTATAATACAACAAAAACATTATTTCAAACTGGCTAACAGCAGCAGATTATTTCAAGCCAAAACCCAGGACTATGATCATGATTTAACAATGTGTTATCATAAAGGTGACAATGCAATTAATAGCTTATTAACAAATAAGCACGAAACAATAAAAGCTAAGTACAGTGAGCAAGCTACTTTTTAAGACTTCCAGCTATTTCTCCTTTTAATGGACCTCACAACGTGTCTTCAAATCTTAATTGCTACTAGAAAATTATATTATTATAAATAGACGAAACTGAACAGAAATGAATTACGCATTCATTGTTTCAAAAGAAACACTATACGAGTAGCTTATTTTTCTTTGTGTTACATTTTAATGATGTCTGCATCTGGGTGGTATCTGAGTAGATGCAAATAAAATCACCCAATATATTAATAATTTAAATCTGTTTATATTATATCACATTGTCATTATGAAGAAACACAGTTGTCATTAGTGAATGGTTGGGCTATTGGAATTTAATTCAAGAGTGTTCTAGAAAGGCACCAAAGGACATTCTACTGGATTCTATATACAAAATAAAGTGTCTTTGTTGTATTACTGTACTTCACCATATACTAACTATATGAATGTTCCTATGATTTCGAAGACATGATTTAAACATAACAGGAAATTATCCTAATCTTCTTCTGTTGGGGTGGAAGTGTCTCTGTCTTAATAAAGATGCAGAATTAAAAGCTCCTTTAGTCCCCTTCTATAGTTCCAAACTAAAATTCTTGACCATCGTAGTCTGAGGAATAACCATAGAAATTGAAAAATGCAGGCAGAATTTCAGAAGAATATAAAATACTGTTACTTCTTTCCACTCTCTGTCCTGGCTTTACAAATGGCAGAAGGTTAATTGGATGTTTTCTATTCTATTTATATTTGCGCTGTCATTTAAGAATTTTGCTGTATCATAATAAATGAATTAATAGCTTTCATATGTTCCTGGGGGTATTTTAGTTTCTGAGCAATAAAATCAGAAATAATAGCTTTTGAAAAGATAGCCTTTTCTTTATTACTATCATTCTATTACACCTGTAAGATAGCACTTGGTACATTCTATACTGCCATTTCACACTGTGTTTGTGGGGATTATAGTGAAGCCTCATGTGGTGAATATTAAATATTAAATATTGTGTTTAAAGAAATCTTGTTAGATTCGATGAAATGGCAGAGTGAGTCTAAAAATAAAATTCTCTCCCTTTTCAACCTTTAGCAAAGAAGTATCTTCTTCAACCTAGACTAGAGACTTAGGTCAGAGATTATTCAAATTAAAAAATATATTTAATTTATGATACGCGCACTCAAATTTTCTGCTGTGCATAAGAATTTGTGGCGAATAGCAGAAGACAATAGTGATCCACTTTCTGATTTGCACTTGTTTATTTTTTGGTTGACATGCAAAAGTAGTCAGCAAGCAATTATATTATTTCAGAGAAAAGTACTTGGATTCAAATTACAACCCACGAGGTCCAAACATTCCAAATACAACTTTTGAGCATATGACTATCTATTAACAATCTATTTCTCAGAGATGGTGACCTAACAGGTATACTCGACTTACAAACATTATTTAGTGACTGTTTGAAGTTATAATCACATTGAAAAGTTGACTTACAGCTGGTCCTCATTTATGACTGTCATAGCATCCCCACAGTCATGTTGTCAAAATTTGTGTAAATGGCAACGTGTTTACAACAGTTGTAGATTTTGGGGATACATCATAACCATTTGTGATCTTCCCACCCAATTTATGACAAGTAAAGTCAATGGGGGAGGCTGGATTTACTTAACAACTGCAGAAATTTGCTTAACAGTAAAATGAATGAATGAATGAATGAATAAAATTTGGCGTGACTCACTTAAAAACTGCCTTCCTTAGCAACAGAAATTCTCTTCTCAATTATGATAATAAGTCGAGGCCTACCTGTAATTGTCAATACTAGTCAATAGTAAAAAAAAAATTGTCCTATGCTATACACCAGGGGTGTCAAATCTTGCATTGCATTCAATGCTTGCATTGAAGGCCATGTCATGACATATTGCAATGCTTTTTGCCTTTGCAGAACCAGGGTGGGTGTGGCCTGTGGAGGCCATATCTGGCCTGCGGGTCGCCAGTTAGACAGGCCTTCTATTACCCACCTTGTGGCACTGTGTATCAGAAAGAGTTGCTACACGTATACAGAGGCCCTTCCATGAATACAGTCTGTCTCCTGGAAGGCACTGACTGCTTTAAAATTAACCCTGGAATTATCCTGAACATCTGCTTCTTCTTATAGCAATTGCCAAGTGAGAAATGGTATTTTATAGCTTGATCGCATCATGTTTTCCAATAGTATTTAACAAAAACATATTAATTGTAAGCAGATACATAGGCATATCACATAACTTCATATAGCTGAATTACTGTAAGTAATGAAGTAAAATTGATGGCAAACACCAGAACTATTTTTGCTTGCTGGAAGAGACAAAGGCTATAAATCAACAATACCAACAACATGTCCATTTTTTTTTTATCAAAGCAAAACTACAATTAAGGCCTAACAAAAATGTTGGTGAAATAAACATTATATGGAACTGATTTTCATTAGATAAAAACTATTTGGCAATAATAATCTTAAGTACCTTTTCCTCCTTTCTGGCAATTCTTTTTTTGTACAACACATGTTCTTGTTTCACTTGTATGTGGGCATAATTTGCCCTTTGTTGAAGGAAGCTGTAGGATTTCTCTGACCCTTGTTTCATTTCCCCTTTTGAAACCACATGCTTTTCCATTCTTTGTGCAAGGACTCCACTGGCTCCATTCATTAATTTTACAGTGAACTGTAACAAAAACATGATATCAATAAATATGGGTCAATAGCCAATGAGATACACCCATCTCAATGCACACCAGATATTTAGTCTGTAAATTAAATATAGAAAAAGTCTCTATATAAATTTGCATCATCTTAAATTACTCCTTCTGAAGAGCCAAGGGCTGTTTTCATTTGCTCAAATATGGCTGCAAGTTCTTATTTGTTCAAAGCTCATTTTCCCACTGGTGACATGCAGACTCTTTATAGCATCACTCAACAATCACTGGAGTAATATAAAATCTGTCCTTATCGCAATAAAGGATCTTATGGACCATAGAAGATGCTATAAATCAGAGAATCTGAAACAAACAAACAAATCTTGAACACAACCAGTTTTCTATCATTAGAGCTTTGTCTCTTAATCAGGAATTTCAGGACTTCTTTTTAACTAATATGTGTCTTGAAGAAGTTTGAACCCTGCTGGCTATGAGTTACTAGTTGGAAAATGAGCTAAAGAAAATTTCATTGTCTTGTAAGAAATTGCATTATGATTTCTGGAACTTTTCTATATACTGGACAGTGAAAAAGCAGTACAATAAATAGGATGAATAACAAAATAATGTGATGATGACTATATCATTGCATTGCATCAGCAAAAAGGCCTCTTAATTCAGCTAAAGATGGGTCCTGTACCATAAAATTCTGGGCTGAAAATAATAAAAAAATATTATATACAAAACCACTCCTAGCATGGGTAAGGAGAAAGCTGGAGCAGAACCTTTTGGGCAAATAATATTTGTAGTATTCAGTAGTTTTCAGTAGTTCAACAGTTTTCAGTGGTTCTTTCACTTTACTCCTTCTACTTTAATCCCTCTGAAATTCAAAATTCTAAAATATAAAGAGGAACATCTTTTATTTCATAAAACAAACTGTGTGAGGCTCTTTTCTGCTAACGTTAAGCTGCATGCCTTTACAGAGAGCTAACAGTAGCAAAACAGTATTCGCCTAGAATTGTTTACTGGATAAAGTTATTCGCATAAACAATTTATTTACCAATATCATTGCATTCCATAGTGTGATTGTTCGGTTCCAGCCAGTCAGGGCAGTTTTCAAGACACTTTCCAAGATGTAAGTAAAATCCATTTTTACATTTCGTACAGAAATTTTGATTAAAGCAGGCTTCACAATCAGCTTTACATTCTGAAGTACAAGAAATAACCAATCACTTTCTGGTCATATTCGATAATGCATCCAATTTACATAGAAAATGACTATGAGACACTGTTTCTGCAACATGGATCATTGTAGGAGGAAAATGGTGATAGTCTTTGGTAGTGAAAAATCAAATTATGCTTTTAATAAAATGTTATGATACCTTATCAACTAGCTTCTTTTTAAAACTGGGTGCATAAAGACATAATTGAGTGATCAAACATATCTGGAAATATACATTATCCTAATATATCTGAGAAAATCAGGGTTTAGATTATATATATTAATTTTTGACATTTTTAAAGTGAACTTTCCTATAAAATTATAGGGATGATGTTCCATACATTATTTTAATTTGAGGAAGAACAGACAGGCTTACTGTAAACCTCCCAGAGACCCTTAGGGGTGATGAGTGGCATAGAAATGTGATGAATGAATGAATGGGAGGAAGGAAGGAAGGAAGGAAGGAAGGAAGGAAGGAAGGAAGGAAGAAAGAAAGAAAGAAAGAAAGAAAGAAAGAAAGAAAGAAAGAAAGA